AAATATGACACTCCCAGCTAAGGAAGCGTTTTCACGGCTTTTCCCCTCCCCGGGACGCTCGGGCTGGCTCTGCGCAATACCTGTTTGCTGCTCAGGCACAGCCCCCTCTCAGCTATACGAGACGCCAGCGAACCTCATAGGAAGCACATTGCGGCTCATGTTTTTCAATGAAAGACTGGAGGAAAAAGAAAAGAAAAAAACCCCCAAACCAACCCCCCTCCTTCCCAGTAGCACTTTTAGCTCCGCGACAAACCGGCTGTGATCCTTCTCCCTCAAGCAACAGCTTTCGGTTCATCCCCAGGCTGGTGAACGACAGGCAAACCCGCTCGCAGATGAGAAGTGAAGATATAAAATTTAATTAACTGGCCCCACTGTAGGCCGGGCCAGAGCTGGCTTTGCTAGTCCAGACTTAGAAATTACCCTAATGCACCGGGCTGTCTCCATCTCATCCGCTCTCTCGCCTCCAGCTGCAGCCAGCACCAGATTTCCTAAAGCATCAGCCATGAAGACGTCGGGCTCTGCCCTGGCAGGGGGCTGAGAGCTCCCGGCTTTATCTTGCTCCAGGAGGGAGGGGTGGAACCAACGTTTCTTATTAGCCCGCTTGAATTAATTTAAATCATTAATTTTAAACCTGGCTTAAATTAGCAGACAGGAAGCACCTTTTCAACTAATCAGTTTTACCCTATTTTGCATTGGTAGTTTCATTTTTCTTCAGGAAGGTAATTGGTGTAACCTCGAAGCGTGTGATTTACACTTCTGTAGTCTCTTGACTCTAAATTGGAGGCGATTTTTTTGCAAACTTGGTACTCCATCCCTGTACGCGTTTAAGCTGGTACCACACGGAGTTAACACACGTGTTCAGGTTTTGTTAAACACATCCTTTTTTTTTTTTTTTTTCTTTGACTACAACAACAATTTTTACTCATTCTTTTGCCAAACGGCCTTTAGGTGAAAGGTAATTCAAACAAAAGAAAACATGAGAACATTTTTTTCAGTTGTTTTGCAACGACTGATGATTTTACCAGCCGTTTGCCTCTTCAGAAGCTGAGCAGCCGAGCAATTCCCGCGCTACTTTGGCGGGTTTGCGGACAAGCTCAGCCCGGCTGCTTCTTCGCTGCCTGGAACTGAATCCGTTTGAGGAATTTTGCTTTTTGTACTTTCTTGCTGTGCTTCTGAGCACAAAGCACACCTCTTCCTTCAACACGTGCACAGCTTGTAACGGTTTTGGTAAAGTTTGCTATGTTTTCTATATATTTTTCTTTGGAAAAGTGTTTACTGCTTTGCCGCGCTGCGCGACTGTTCTTCGTTAATGGTCATCAACAGCTGATGCTTCAGTGAACGGGGCAAGTGAGTGCAGGACTGTTCCCGTTTCGCATCGTGAAGAAATTGAACTTTCTCTTAGTGAAGAACAACTCCTACTTAAAGGCTATTTTACAATGTTAATAACACTTTTCTCCCACTGAAACACCCAAATCTTTGGGCCACGGACTGAAGTCCTGCACCGATGTTCTTAAAAATAAGGCTTCGTGCCCCTCTTCCAGTGTCCTTTCCTGAAAGTGTCTACAGAGAATAACTGTTCAGTAGGTAACTATAAATTAGACTTTAACAGATATCATTTTGAACAGCGATTTCGTGAAACATGTTTAAATCTAATTTTGATTTAACCGGCAGAATCCAGCGACAGAGGTGTTCTTCCCCCCGCGCAGCCCTGCCCTCTGCTCCCAGCCCCACCTGCTGAGAGGCACTCGGACGCGCACCCTGCCCTGGCAGAGCGCGGGGCTGGGGGGGAGCAGCTCCTGTCTCTGCTTCTTCAAGGGTATCCCCAAAAGGCAAAGCCCTGCAATAACCGCAGCTGGCGTTTAAGGCAAACCCCAAAATACTTTCCTTTAAAGGTAAAAACCACAGGGAGCCCCTCAGCCGAATCCCTCTTCTCGTAAGCACCTTCACCTGCTAAACCTACACGGCACACACGGCCTCTGAGTTACCGACGGAACTCCCCGCTCGCGTTAGCTCCCTTCACCCAGCCCTGCAAAACGGCCAAATGCGGCAGTAATGAATCTACAGTGACTAATGGAGGACCACCCCTCTGAACAGTCAGTCACCTCCGGCTGTGCGTTGGTTGTTCTACTGTTTTAAGGTCAATTAAACTCAATCCCACTCTTCCCAGCCAACTTCCCAAGGCTTAATCCACGCACAGAATCGGGCAAATAAAGAACTTGCCCACGTATTTGCACGCTGATTGCCTCCAGGCAACCGAGGAAGCAAACACAAGTTGTCGGAAGTGGACCGTAAGATTTTTAAGCATGATGGACGTTGGCTACGCTTCACCCTTAGTAGAAGGAAGTGCTACTGAGTCGAGTCAGAACTAAGCCTGAACAAGAGAAAACTTAAGTCAAACGGCTTCTTTCAGCCAGAACCCGGCTTGTAACAACGACAGGGTTACAAGATAAACAGTTTACGTACGGTACGCGTTCACGAGTGCGATACAGCAGGGACGAGGTGACGTTCTTGCTGCACTTTAAGCAGCTGTCTGATTTCCGAGACCGAAAGAGCTCAGGTAAGGGCCGCTGTTCCAGGACATCATCTACCGCCAGCCAGCGGGGCGCACCAGGGTGGGGAACCATCTCTATCGTCTTGCTTCGTGCCGCAGCTGAATGGACTCGAGCAGTTACGACCCCTTTGAACTCATTCTAGGAGAGCTGAAGCAAGAAGTTTGAAAGTCGAACTGTTGATTAAAGCCTGGCAATACCCAACTGCCTACGCCATTGTTCTCAGATTTAATAATCTTTTTATTATCCTTAAAAGAGATATACTACTTCCACGGTAATTAGTTACAATGACTGAGACCTGATCGAGAGAAACAAACAGTTCCACTGCAGAGTTCTGTGAATATGACAGGGGAGAAAAAAAACCCTATTCAGCAAAGCGAAGGAAGCTGGAAAGCCCCTCGAAGGAGCGGCAGTTCCCCCTCGCCTGCCAAAGTCTCTGCTACAGCTTTGGACTCCGGCTGAGACGCGAATGGAGCGTTGTCAGTGCTGTGACTGCCTTGCTGGACCCTCACGTGACATGTAACCACGGACTCTAAGCAGACGATAAGGTTTTATGAGATGATCCTACACTAAAACACAAGCTATCACACGCCACAGCTGAAACTCGGTCAAACTACAGTTCAGCGCTCTGCCGAAAGCTACGCTTCCAAGAGCGCTACTTTTTTATCCAAACACACGCGTTAGGAGGTTTGACCTTTGGGGAAGTCGGCCAGCAGAGCGCGAAAATGCACGTGACGTCCAGGCTGCTCCTCCGAGTTAACGGCCCTCCCATCACAGCCCCCGCTTAGCCGGTCCTCCAGGTCTGGGCCCCTGCGTGGATTAACTCGTGTCAGACAAGGTGGAGCTGAGCAAGGAGGAGCTTTAACACGTGAAGTTTTACAGCACAGAACCCGCCTTCCCGCCCTTGTTTACCATTCGGATTACATCAGCTTTCAGGGAGTACTAGATGTTTTCCAAACCGGCAGAAGAACCGTCTTTGTCCTGAACGTTACGGCAATTCATAAATTAGTTTCGGAGCGTGTGAAGCTCGGGAAGCTGGTCCACGCGGAACTCCCTCGGCAAATTTCCAAAGTCACACAAGTGGAAAAATTTAATAATCCAACACTGAGTTTCTATAAACTTCCAACTCTTGCACACACCCCTGCTATCGTCCCATCTGTTGCCGTAACAAATACATCTTTCTTCTTTATGAACTACGGCTATTGACCTGCCAGTGACTCACTTCATCCTCACGTTCTCTCCTGTGGACTCAGTTTCACCTAAATTACACAGTCCAATTAAACTCCAATTTTTCTTTTTCCTTGCGTAGTTTAAGATACAGTTATTCCGGCAAGTCACTTATCTGAACCCACGTATCTGCCATTTCAGGAAGGCAGCCTTGACCAACAAGCAAACACACGGCATTAGCAGTTTCAGAATAGAAAGAGCGAGCGAGATTCATGCACCGGAGGTTCCGCCCTGTCGCACAAGGCCTCCTACACGGTTACTTTGTGAACTGCAGCAGCACGACTGCAAATAAAAGGGTTGAGGAAGAGAGCCGAGAGGTTAACCGAGAAGATCGAGCGGTGAACAGATCAGACGAGTTTGGGTTTGGATGACGGGATCTCGGTTAGAGGCTCAGGAGAGGAATTCAATGATGTAAGGCAACAGTTCGCCCGGACAAGGTTTCACAGTACAGACACAAACGCGAAAGGCTGTCGTCCTAGCGGAGTGATTCTGTACGAAAAAGTAGCTGTGCGACGGTACGCAGAGCGGCGAGGAACAGGGCGATTGCTCACGAGAAGAGGCAGCTTGCTACCACCGGAGTGCTGTTTAAATGCGGCGTTAGTATTTGAACAAACGGCTAAGCGGGAAGGAATTAAAATATTAAACTAAACACAATTTAGAAGTTTTATTCTTCTTAAAGAGCGTATTTAATTGCTCTTTTCAAACTTAAACCATTCTTTATGGCTAGATCTTAAAAAAAAGGAAGGAGCACCTAAACAATGGAAACCCCAAAGGACAGAAAAAGGTGGGGGAAGAGCCGGCAGCCTTGGGAAGGTCTGCCCTTCCTTCACGGCTTGTCCAAAATCAACAGCGCGGTCCTTCAGCAAAGCGCGGTCCTGGAGGCAGGAGATGAAAAATAGGTATGAGGGAAGACAAGCAGTCGGTGACTCAGGTACTGAATATATTTAAAGGAACTTCTACCAGTCCCAAGATTAAAAGGCACACAGAGGTCACAAAACCCAGATGAAAGTGAGATGCAGATCATAAAGAACGAAGCGTTAACTCCTTGCGAAGCCTGCACACGTGCGGTCTTTTAAGACTAAATTTCAGAATCATTTGTGCTGCCAAGGAACATCACAGGGGGGAAAAAAACAAGTAAGAACGAGGCAAAGAGATTAGCACGGGATGTCGTTCGGTTCTGTAGTTTCATAAGCACCAAATCCACTCAGATGTACTTTTTAAAATGTGTTTGTCCAGAAAGTTCTTGGAATTTATTATACACATTTAATAACAGATGATACTCAACATTCAAATGTTGTTGAACTAAGTTTACAAGCACTTTAGCATACAATGTATACTTCTGCTAAGAAACAAAAGATTCAGCATATAAGGAAGTGCAGAAGGAAGCTACTTTAAAGAGATCCCCTTCCATCCAGTATCTACATAATACCTGTTTTATTTTAAAACCCTACACGATGTCAAGTAAAAAGACTAATCAAATATCTACACTTAATCGTGCACGACACATCTACTGCAGATGCAGAACAAAAATTTTCAAGAGCATGTTCCATTCCTCCTTCCAGAGGAACCTTAGACTTCAGAATTGACTTGGTTTCAGCAACAGAGCTGGAATTTCTTAAAAAAAAATCCGACAGTAGCACTCCAGCAAGTTTCAAATATGATTATGAGAGAGGCAGCGAGCCGCCCGGGGTCTTCAGAGGAGCATTCAAACCAGAGTTTACACGGCTAAAGCCTGGAACTGAGTTAATGCAAGCCTGCCGTTCATTTCTTGCAGGACCTTGAAACGTTTTACTTGCTATGACAAGCCATTTTCACCAGCAAGTATGTCGTTTGTTTGTTTTAAGCTTATCCATCCTAACAGAGTGCTGACCAGGTGCCTGGTTTACTCTTGCTTTGCAAGAACACCAATCCAGACGCAACTGGAGCATCACTGCATTAACAGAGGGCTGTTTCTGCTACCCCAGGACAGTTAAAAACAAAAGCCCCAGTTTTTCAGAGGCCGGCATACTGGATCAAATACTTTTTCATACCTGTATTCATTAACCCTGTACAAAAGAAAGCTGATTAGCAAATGTAAATGTTCATATAAAAATAGCCAACATCTGTTTAAATTTAGAAATTTATTTTGTTTAATCCACAAGCTTTATATAGCTTTAGTTAAAAAAACAAAAACAAAAAACAGTGAAAACATGACAATATCCAAAGTTCAGGTTCCTCAAGCTTTCAAAGACCACATCTCTGAAAGTTGCTTATACCATTCAGAAGAACCGTAACGAGACAAGATTTATGAACGGGGCAACGACATCTCACAAACAAAATTTATGTAACTGAAGGAATTTTTCTGGGACTGCTGATCATGGAAACTGCCCTTTAAAAAAAGAACATAAAAATACAAATGAAATTCCAGTGTTCCAAATCAACATGTTACATCAATATAAACCCACAGTGTCCTGGTAAACAACATGCTTTCATTTATGTACCACTCTAAACTGCTATTCTTGATTCGCTTTAATGGAGACTATACAGGCAACAGTAGAAAGCATTAAAATATACGTACTTCCTCGGTAATTCTGCAGTGGTTTTACTTCTGGGCAAGCTTACAAACCACAAAGGTTAGTAGCGTAATGTAAGTGGATACAAAAGAAGTCAAATGGGACCCTCGCAAATTATGCTAAAGGCTTTGTTGAATTTCAAAAGAAACTAGGGAATCGACGGTCATGTTTAAAACCTTCAAAACAAATTCCTACTGCTTCTAAAAAGTCTCACTCTAAATGAAATTATGTTGACTGTCAATGAAAGAATGTCACTAGTACACTGTGGACACCTTTTGTAATGTAAATCCATGCCCTTTGTACATGGTGAACCTCAACCTAGCAATTATTACAACAAATGTTATATTCTAAAGCTCAAACACATTTAGCAATTTGAAATTGAATTCTGAGTACAAACCAAATAAAATGTACATTATATCAAAGGATTCAGCCTAGGATGGTGGTGACACTTGCGCCTTCCTCATTGACCTCAGTGCCTTCTCCCGCAGGTGTTTTTCTAGATCATCAAGGTTGTCTTCTGGTTCACTCTCTGTCTCCTTCAAACAAAGACAAGGCATTTCTTCAAACACTGAAAGCTAAGCCAGGCTGCAGCCCCCCCCCCGTACCGCAAATCGTCGAGTAAAATCATGAGACACTACGTAGCATTTCTGAAGCGAGACTGCCGTTTAGACCCTCAAGAGTACTACGCGCATTCATCTCCATCTATTTTCTTACACTGGACTGGGACAAAAGCAAAGCACAGGCACCAAATTCCTACCTTTTTGGGTTCTGTCTCTGCTTCCTGGTCTTCCTGTGCCGAGGTGGTATCTGCTGCAGCCACAGCGGCAGCTGCTGCAGCCGCTGCAGCCTTCTCCTTCTTATGTTTTTTGTGTTTCTTGTGCTTTTTATCCTTTTTATGCTTCTTATCCTTCTTTTTCTTCTTCTTCTTTCCACCCCCTTCTTGATCTGAATTCTGTAACGAACAATTCAACAGATATTACATTCCTAAGGCTTCCAAGTGTTGTTAAAACAAGCCCACAACCATCCTGGGAAACTTGAACGGACTGAGCAACATCTGAAACTCAGTAAACTCAACACCGTCTTCAGAACAGGGGGGAAAGTCACATTCCCCATCAACTGACAGAAGCAGTCCTGGAAGACAGATACTGTAACGCACGGCTGTGCTGCGTCTGTTCAAAACGGAACGTAACACCGTGCAAACTCGATGTGCTGGTCACAGCGATGGCAGGCAAGCCTCCTCATAAAAATTAATACTGCAGGTGGAGCCCAACTCCCTCAAACACTCCCCTGGCAAAGAATGGAAGCGTCCCTAGGAAACACCTCAGGAGAACAGATAAGGATGCCAAACAACCTGTTCTCTTCCTATTAGGAACAGCCTGAGTCTGCATCTAAGTCTACTGAGCATAAATAAGACCACCTCATGCTGTGGACCATGATGAAACTCATGTAGTCTCATGAAATGAGAAAGCCTTTTCTTCCAGAAGTTAAAATTGATGTACACCACCACTTTTTTTTCAGACTCAGAGATGTTAAATTTGAAAAATTTATGCTACAAATTGTTTTTAACAAGTTTTTTTAACTATGAAAAAAAAAAAATCAATCCAAGGATTTTTTTTTTCATGTGAATAAGCTTAGAGCTGTTCAGCAGCTAAGTCTTCACGAAAACAACTTGCCATATAACGCAAAACAGGATTGCTTTTATTAGCAAACAAATACCCTTGCAGGCGATGGGCTCTGAGTTGGGCTTTTAGCCTTTTTTGCAGGTGACCAGTTTGCAGAAGGGGAACGAGACCGAGTAGGAGATGGAGGTCCTTGATGTTTTTTCGGTGCTGGCTCAGGTGATCCTGACGCAGACCGTGATGAAGACACCCGTCTCGCAGATCGTGGACTTGGCGTGGAAGCCCTTAAAAATAGAAGAGCTACACTTAGATTCTAGTGTTAGAGATACAAGAGACAAAACAAGAAAGTAAAAGTTAACGAAAAAGCCAGATGAACATACGTGCTTCTAAGTTGGTTGAGCTGCCACTTAAGAACTGAGTAGTTGCTTTGCTGGCATATGGTACAAAAGGCAAAACAATCTAATACCACCGTGGATCCATAATGCAAAAGGATATTGCAACTTGATAGCTTGTGAATACTACTATCGTTGTTCAGGAATGATTGCTCCCTTTCTTCCGATATTACTAATTTATAACCACATTAAAAGTCAAGAGAATAGCAATGCTATTTTATCATCCAATGAAGAAAGAGTGCAAGACATTGCCTTCAGCTATATTGTCTTTCTGAATTAATAAGCCAGCACCATACTTTTGACTATCTGCTCCTAAGAGCGGCATCACACTAAAGAAAACTGCTAAAATTCTAAATGTGGGGGGTTTTTCCCCTCTTGGATGACCACTTAGAAATTATTTATGAGCTAATGAAAAGCGTTGGTTCCCTTCTGCAGTTAGCTTTAAAATAAGAGAAAGCTCATTTCTCTTTAAACAAAACTAGCAACAAAACTTCTCTCGAACTTCTTTTCACCTGCTCAGTCCCAGTGTTTTGTTGTGCTATTAGAAGACTCCTCAAACCCTACACAAAGCCTCTTTAATGCTTCTCCCCATGTTGCACTTTATTTTAACAGATGCTTCCAATCTAATAAACTTCCGAAAAGCAACGTTATGATGGTGGAAGCTGAACAGAGCCACCAACGCTTGAGCAATCTCAAGATATGAGAACCATTTTAATGCTATTCCCACTGCATTAAAGCAAGACAAAAAAAAACAACCCTCACAAAACCACCAACAATAAAGACAGATTTTTTTACTTTGTCTTCTTAGGTTCTGGCGTTCTTGACACCCTCCTGATGGGTCTAGTGCTTGGAGATGGAGACTGTCTTCTCTGGGGTGAAGCTGAAGCTCCCCTTCGTGGTGGTGGTGGGCTTGCAGAGGTATGAGAAGCTCTAGGCCGTGGTGAAGGTGAATGCCTTTTGTTTTGTGGTGGAGAACGTGTTTCCCGATTGGACCTACTGGGAGGAGATCCCTTCCTGTGCTTGGAAGATAGCGAAGGTGAACGCCTTTTAGCAGCTGGCGAGCTCCTTTGTTTTGGCGGTGGTGAATGGGAGACTCTGCGTTTTGACTGTGGAGAAGGTGATGCCCTTCGTTTAGGCGGGGGAGGAGGAGAAGCCGTTCTTCTCTTAGGTGGTGGAGAAGGAGAATATCGTCTCTGTATCGGTGGAGAGTATCTCCGCGGAGAAGGTGAGCGTCTGCGTGGGGGTGGTGATGGAGACCTACAGAGAAAACAAACGTTCAGGTGCCACGTAGGCACGTGAATTAGTTACAAGTGTCTTGCAATTCGCCCAAAGAGGGGAAATAGAATTCCTCTAAAAATTCTTTAAAACTTTACTTAATACCAAACTTTTTCAAAATCAGCTTAATGGGTGTTATTCAGTCTTTGATACAGCAATCAAATGATACCCAGGCCACACACCCACCGCGCAAAATCTCACTAGCAAAACTACATTTCCCTCAGTAACTGTGAATCAAGGAACTGGTTTCCTCAATCATGGCATTTCTTTTTACACGTCATAGTTGGAAGTCAACAAACCAAAAGCAACCACTTCATGACAAAAATGCAATACACTACCTTCGACGAGGTAATGAAGGTGACCGCCGCCGCCTAGGAGGAGGGGCAGGTGAAGGAGAGCGTCGCCGCCTGGCTGGTGGGGGCGATGGACTTCTCCTCCTCCTACTAAAGAGATAAAGGGATTTCTCAGAGAAGTTGCAATTGAGCCATGTCATTCTTTTTTGTTCTTCTGCTTTCACTATACAAAATCATCTTGTTCACGCACTTCAAAATGAAATTCTGTTAGAAGATGGAAAAAATATACTCGTCTTTCTGAAGAGTGTGAGACGACACATAATTTCACTGTAATTTTCAGAGCCCACTACAGCAGTCATGAGACAATTTCACATTCTACTTAACCTGGTCTATTCACATCCTGTAGCCAAAGAGGAAGCCCAACTCTCTCCCATTTTCTTCTCCTGAAAGCTCATTCCTGCCGTTTCCCTTGCACTGAATCTAGTGATCATCTAATGAGTCAGACCAGCTTACTGATCCACCAGGAGACTAATCCAAAAAAACACCTTTGTTGTCATGCAGTGGCGTGATTGCTGGATCCAACACAAGGGAGGAACTGGGATTGCCCAGCCACGTCAGGCAGACCAAAACCGCGTTCAGCAGCAGTCTGAAGTTGGATCAGATTAAACAGTGTGAAACTGTACTCTTGAAAACAACTTTTATCTATAGATCTGAAATCCAAAATGACTTATTTCTTGAAATGTAGAGAAAAATCAGAGCTGTTGCTAAACTGCAGCTACCTGAATTAAAATTATTCACAAAATGAGCCATTTTCTGCTCTGCAAGTTTTACAACTGACTTCTGGGACAGGAAATTTTAATCAAACACATACTTTCCTAGAGTTTTAAAGGAGAAGAATATTGGTATTTTGTAAAGTAAAACATTCCTTTTTTTAAAAAGCAATTCAGACAAAATGACTGGATAAAGGAAAAAAATGAGAGTAATGAAAAAAGCAAAGCAGCTTATCTACATAACCTGCGACTTCATTTCAAATACACTGGCTGTTGTTCTCCAAGGCAATGAGTTACACTTTTTATAGATAAGAGTTTGCTCCAAAAGACAACGTTCTTTTATTATCCAAAAAAATACCAACCCTCAAACGTCATAGTTGCCCTAGTTAAACGTGTATTTACACAATAAGGAGTAGGTGAACTTAGTATGTTGCAAAATAGATGAAGATCTTTGAATTCCAATCTGTTTTACATAGAATTGTTTGACAAGATCCATAATTAGAATGGTCTACATTTGTAGAATTAGTCATACTTAATCTCATACATCATTATGTACGCTGCAACTATATTCTAGCTAAGTCCTGATTACAGATTGCTCACCAGGGTCATTACATCAGATTAATAAACCCATCAAGCACCCAGCTTCCCGCACCTTCCTATATTCTGAGATCAACAGAGCAAGCAATTTCACAAATGAAAGTCTTAACAATATTGCTTACATAAAAAAAGAGAAAATAAAGTAGGTGTTCACTACTAGTCTACTACCAGTAGTTCCAAATATCTCATGAATGCAGGAATAAGACTTTAGAAAAATTCCAATTATCTGTGACCCAGAACATCAAGATCTTAAATCACTCGTTGCAAGTCTACGGAAGGGTTTTAGCCAGAACGTGAATGGCAGCAAGAATACAAAGTAAAGCTCACCCACCTTTCAAATCTGTGTATATGGAACAAGAAAACCCCTGAAGAATGCAAGCATTCCGTTGTTTTCAGGCATCGGTAAGATGCTAATAACATTAATGTTTTTAGCTGTTACAGGCTTATGTGAATTAACAAATAGTGAACAATGAAGGAGATGGAGCAGGTGTTCATTTTTTTTTTTTGCCAGTGAAATGGTCCCAGATCCAACGCATTAAGGAACACATCAGTCTGAATTTCCCTCACCTTACTACTTTTGAGTGCGCAAGTCCAAAGGACAAAGGATGGCAAGTACTTATCCATGACAAAATAAATGAGAGCCTGTCTAAATGATTTTCTGTTTAACAGATTAACTTCTAACCAACCTTTTCATCACTGGCGATTGCCACCTCTTTTCCATCTGCATCCTGATAGCAGTGGAGGAAAAACAAAACAACACAAATCTATCTGCCATATATTTGAGGCAAAAATGAACATATTCAAATAAAGTTCAGAGTAATTCTTACCAAATGAGCACAACAAGAATGCAATCTTGAAACAAGATTGGGCAAACTGGACACGACTTAATTCTGTTGTGTATGTGCTGACAGTTGCATAGCAGACAAACAACAACATGAAGTCAATAGTTAGGAAAAAAAAAGATGTCAGTTACGTTCAACTTAAGAAGAAATTACCGAGGGGAGGATTCCTTCTGTCGTTTTCGTGGAGACGGTGATGGACTGCGTGAATGTGAATGGCGTCGGCGTCTACCAACTTCCCCATTCTTCACATTGGATCTTTTAGGTCTTTCCTCTTCAGATGAAGATGAAGAACCAGAATCTATAAACGTAGAAGAATCACTCTCTGGAAAATTATTCTCATGACACTGTTAACACACTTACTGATAGGGTTATAACTGCGGTTTAAACTGCAGTACTAACCTCCTCTCCCACAAAATAAGAAACCTCTATTTGAAAGCAGTTCAACTAAAAATGTTAGTTGAAGTCAAGCGATAAATAAATCCATCGGAGCCAAGTAAAATATTTGCAGCAACCTAACTGTCCACATAAAATTCAACTAGCCAGGTAATTTAAAAGGTGAACTGCAGTTACTTACAGAAACATGAAGTGGACAAAAACCTACACTAGGCCCAGGTTAATTTACTGATCTCAAGCATACAAGAGTCCAAAATATTAGGAAATAACCTAATGCAACAACAGATTAAGTAATCCATAGCAAACAATATTTGTGTGTGATGTTAAGAGTTTAAAAGTGCAACTTTTAAAGATGCGAACCAATTCACAGGAGATATACCATAACCTTTAAAAATTATACTTTATTCCTCATGAGTAATAATTAAAGTGATTTCATTATCAGTGGTAAATCTAGAATTAAGTTTACAATAGTGCTGCAGTGCACATAGCAAATAATTTTCATCAGTATTTGAACTTAACATTAACTACTTTCTGCAAAAGTAAACTGCAATCCAGTTTTAGGAAATCTATATCATCCATACCAGATGAAGACTGTTGATTTTGCCTTCTGTACTGACGCCTCTGTTGAACAGAGTCTGCTGCAGCCATTTTACCACCTTTATCTTCCTCTGAAAAAGTACATACATGGACAGAATATTTAAACCGAAGATACAAATTTGCCTTATTCAGGCAGAAGCAAAGTCGTATTACAGCAGATCATCAAGCATGCTCCCCCCAAATTCTTAAGATAACACTGAGGCTGGAATACACTTTGGCTGAGCTTTTTCCAAGAGAGCTTGGATGGAGTATTTGAGGCAGTATGAGTGATCATCTTTATACCTCTGAAAACTCTTGCTTTCAATGCCAGTCTATCAAGAGGGTTCAGCACTTTACCACTACCTTTTATTGTCGTGCATCTTTGATTAAAAACCCCACCCAAAACCAGTGTTGAAAAGTGAGAGCCATACCTGATTCAGACAGTTCTGCTTTCCTTGGTTTTGGTGCTGGCGAAGGAGATTCTCTTTTTTCGGAACTCTTATGTTTGGGTGCTAAAAGATAAAGTCAAATAACTTGGTTGCAATTTGTTACATTCTTGCATGCTTTTCTGCTCATACAAACCGTACACACCGTCTTTGAGACAACAAAAGCACAAAATGATAAAGCTGCTGGAATACAAATTTTTATTTGATTACCTGATGTTCTGCTAGGCGAAACAGAGCCACGGCTTTTTCTTGCACGATTCGACTGCTGGGGTGTTGGAGACCTACGTGGTTTTGGAGGTGGACTTGCTGGTGGGGATGGTCTGTGCCTCCGCCTAGGAGGGCTTGCCGAAGGAGAGAGCCTACGCGTTTTACGAGGAGGACTGGATACAGTTCTTTTAGGTGGTTTCTTTGGTGGTGATCGGGAACGTGAGGAGGAGGAGGAAGAGCTACTGCCAGATAAGGATGCTGATGACCGTCTTCTCCTGTAAATTAAATATAACATTAGATTCTGACTAGCCAGCTTAAGGCATGTTTGAGCACGAACACAGAATCGCATTTGTTTGCAAGCACATATATAGAGCCACATACAAGAGCACTTCCAAAACATGGTGGACAGCCTTCAACACTTGGTTTGTAGAATAGGAGAATAACCACCAATCTTTCACAGTTATTTTTAAACTACATAGTGAGCAAAAAATTGTTAGTGTTACCTTTGCTTGCTTTCTGTCAATCTACAGACTACAACTAAGCTCTTCTCCTGGGAGCAATTAGTTTTCTTTGGGCTCTCTTAACTTTTGGATGGTTAAGAGAATTCTCCGTGTTAGCACGTGTGATTTAACGATCTTCAGAACAGATCTGTTTAAGAGTTTAGTGTGCAAGTATGCTAAAAAGTTTTTATACCAGGAGGTAAAAATTTCAGACAACTTAACTATTCAGAATCAATCTACCCATTCTTATCTTTTAGTCTTTCATCTTTACTTTATCATTTTAAAAAGGTAAGGCCTCTAGAATTCTGCGGCAAAATTTGTGGCAAGTTCTGTTGCAATTGTGTACCTGCAGAATCCACCTTTGGCTGCAGAATTCCTGAGAACCTGGAAAAAAGAAACCCTACCTTGAGTGAGATAAACATTTGCTGAAAGGGAGCTCTTGTACATCTTGCAACATACATGTCTGATACTTTTCACAGTTTTCCCGGTAACTGTGTGAAATGAACATCTTTACAAACTCAGGGAAAAAAATAGTCATCACCTTGTCATAAAAAGGAAGAACTGTTCCTTCCTAAAGAAGAACAACTGCTGTACACAGGAAGCATCGCTTTAATTCTCTTCCTGTGAAGAAGGTAGGAATCTATTCTCTTCCTCTGAAGACAAATGTCTACTTTGACATTGCCATAAGTATGTAATTTTCTTTGCAAGGCAACTCAGAGCTTTGCTACTAGAACAATTGCTTATGCTGTCAAAAACGTAACCTCCAACATCAGAGAGCAGACCTTGAGGATTTTTTTAAGTAAAAGAACATGAAGAGTAAACACATTTCAAGTCAAAATTTAATTCTTATTTTAATTTTATGTGATGGAAATGTAAGTCATAATTAAAAAACTGCCAACAAGTAAAATCCAGTTACTTGTTCTAATTTCTCCCCCAAGCAGGGAAAAAAAAGTATTAAGACTTAAGCAAAAAAGTCATAAAAGATGTCATGTCAATCTAGGCTGGGAGCTATCCAGAGCCATTTGAAGAAGTTACAGTTCTGAAATTGCCACTTTTCAAAAAAGGTGGAAGTCTCATCACTATTTCAACTCAAAAGAAATCGTTTCACAGCTACTATTATGTTCCCCCACAACACACTTATGAAATACGACACTGCAGTTTTTCCATCACTCAAATCATGTACCTGACAGCACTAAGGTAAGGTCAACAGGGTAATTTTGGTAACGCTCATTCCTCACAACTTATGTTCCCTTCAACTTTCAAAGTTTAACATTTTCAGTTGTCTCAAAAAAGGGAATCTTACCGCCTCACAGGGGATCTGCTTCTTCTGTGTCTGGGTGGGGGAGGCATTCGCCTCGGAGGGCTCCTTCTCCTTGGAGATGGCCGTCGTCTTGGGCTTGGTCGCCTTCTAGGGGAGTAAGACCTGTCACAATCAAAAATTCAAATGAAAAGCAACTATCTAATTTTCAGATTTGAGGAAATTTATCCTCAGGGCACTGAGTGTAAAGTTGCTTTTCTCCAAGTACATCACATTAAAATGGCATTTAGATTATGATGCAAAGTGGTACATTCAGACACAATCAGTGCTTTAAAATTTACCAACACCTCTCTGCTAAGAAGTAAAATAATCCAAAAAAAGGAAAAAAAAAAAAGTAATTTACAACATCTTCAGCATCAAACCTATCTCCTAAAAGAAGGCTACACAATTCCCACTAACAAGTGCCATACTCAGCATTAAGTACCCCATTCTTTCGCCAGTCAGTGTTAGTCACTGTGAGCGTCTTCTCATGAACTGATAGGAAGAAAACAACTCCCAAACACATTTATCCATCGAACGCATCTTTCTCATTTGGCCTAAAACATCCCGTAGCTCAACAGCTCTAAAAACATCACTGCTTTCACTGAGAACATTACATTAAGTGGCACCTTCAGAAGAAAATACTCACTTCTCAACCTTCACAATCAAGATAAATTGAAGTCCTACCTTGACCGTGATCTATGACGCCTTCTTGGTCGAGAATGAGATGGAGAACGTGATCGAGATCTTGACCTTGACTTGGACCGAGTTGGGGATCTTTGACGAGTCTTCTCTTTTTCCTTCTCTCTCTCCTTCTTTGAATTACGTTCTGGTGAAGTTTCCTTAATCTCTGGTACAGGAGGTTCAGGTTTAGGAGCTTTTGGGATATCACTGTTAAAAAGAAAAAATTTATAAGCACATACAAACCACAGCCCCTGGAGTAACATTTTAGAAACTGCCAAGATATTCCCCTACAATGAACATTCTCCTGCCCATCCTCTGATAAGATGTTAGACATCCCGCTCCAAAACTGTGAAAAGAGTTAGAACATGGTACAATGATTCAAAGAGAAGAAAAAGCAATATACAGGCTATGTGTCAACTTGCTAGAAAACAAGATGACATTGTCAGAAGTGGAAAAGATGACCAGGACAATGAAACCACAGCGGCAGCTAAGCACTCTGCCTTTAGAATTCTACGCAGGACAAAAGAAATCTTGCTGAAGATTATTAAATAAATTCTTTTGCCATTGCAGGGGGACAGGGAGAAGCAAGCATTCCCCCAAGTCAAGCTCCAAACAGGTATTAAGGTATTTTCCATTTTTTAAAAAGGTAATATATAGTTCTACATGCAAAGTTATCACGCTTACCTGTTTGAAGTTGCCTCTTGAACAACAGTCTCCTTTGGTTTCACAGAGGGTTCTGGCTCAGGAGTCGCCTCTTTCTTTTCTGGTGCAGGAGTAGCACTACGGCTCTTGGTTCTGTGATGAGGGGAGCGAGAATGGCTGCGTTTCCGCTCTCTTCTGACAGGCGACGACCTCCTTCGAGGGGAAGGAGACCTTGATTTGCGTCTAGGAAAGAGAAGTGCCATTTAATAGCGTAACATAATGAAACGATATACAGGATAATAAAACCTGTGATATCCAGCAGCTAAAAGCTCTTCTGAATCAGGCAGACTCTCAGTACTGCCTACAGCAGTTAAAACACACATAGGACTACTTTATATTTTCTGCTAGTAACTGACAGCCAAATTAAGATGTCAAACAAACAAACAAACCCACCCCAAAAAAACAAACCCCCAAGAACAAAAAGAACAAAGCCTGGAACAGATAAACCATTAAAAACAGTTCCTAGTGTAAACAATACCTATGTCAAAGTTGCTCTAGTTTACTTGCAATTACTGTTCCGTATTAAGTCAAGCTAGCCTGCTAAAATAGCTAAGGGCAGTATTTCCAAAGCTCAATTAA